CTACCCTCGAGCAGATCGACACTCCCGATGTCAGTAGGGAGCAGATCGACACTCCCTGTGTCAGTAGGGAGCACTTAGCTGTCCATCCACCCCAACATCTACTACCTCTTCATCACAAGTTTTTGTTTAGGTTCAGTTAGTATCCACTTGGCTTCATCTTTCAAGGCCAAGAACAAGACAGTAATATAAAAAGGATCTCCAAAATTATGGTATGTTCTTTGAAGACACTTATATTAGTAATACATATTAAAAAAAAACAGAAAAATTTAGTGCTTGAGCCATGTAGCTTCTGTAAAGATATCTGTAGTGCACCAGTGAGTGAGCACTACTGCCGTGAACAAATCCAAACCCAGTCTATCAGTAGTAGCAGCAATATATCGTCAGAGAGCTCTGTTCTATGGCACGCTGCCAGCTTTGCTTAGGTATGAAATTGCAATGTGGACACACCCGATAAGAAAGCAATGAGTTTGTCTCTATCTAGAATGACACTTTCTTCCCAAATTTTATTCTATTCTAAATAAAATCCTGTCCAATCCTTTAAAAAGAAGTACTTTGTAACAATGTTTCCCCAAGCCCAAATACTTACACACTCCTCATTCTAGATTAATTTGGGGGAGTGGGGGAAGAGGAGGAAGAGGGGGAAGACCTTTTACTTATACGCAGCTCAAGGCTTATTACTTAAGTTGAGATGAGAGTATAAATCATTTTGCACATCATATATCCAAAGCCCTTCTACAAAGACCACCACAAGCAAGAAGAAAATCTGCAGGTTTCCCTACTCCTTTTCTGAGTCTTCCAAAGCACAAGTAAACCAAGATTTCATTTCAGATTAGCTATCAGTCACTAAGAGCAACTATTCCCGTTTTCCCCTGCCAGCCTCCTCACATACTGACCTGCACCAATGAACCTAAGGTAAAAAGAGCTTCCATGTTCCTAATCTTTCAGGCATACATCTTCAATTTTTTTCCTTCATACTGTACAGGCATACTGTGAGTCCATTATGGTGGATCTGACCACAAACCCTCCCGGTTGATACAGCTGGCTTCAAAGAATTACTTTCAACATTTCGTTTTCCTGTCATTTCTTTACCAATTCACAGTTGGGCCAAGCCTTTCAAATATATATCACACGTCTGCATATATCAAAGGGAAAGTCATACCCTACATATTCAGATTTGAAATAACCTGAGTTAGTGTTTCCAGTTATTCATTTTAAGCTTATACAAAATGCTTATATTCTGAGGAACTGGATATCTCCCAGAATACATTTTATTATTTTTATCGTATTTTTTCTTTAATTTACCTTCATTATGGGAAGAAGATCTTCTACTTTATGTACCTTTTCCAAAGCTTCTCGAACCTCTAATAGTCCTTTTGGATTATTAGCACTGGAAAAAAATTAAATATAGAATTCCAATGGTTGAACACATGTAGCATTTCTGGAAATCCACCTAGCTTTAACCTAATTAGCCACAGAGGAATAAGTTATTGAAAGTTATTTAATTATTTCTTTTCTGAAAATTAGTTCCTTCATACTGGCCACATGCTTTCCTATTCTTCAAAAAGTAATTTCCTCCTATATCAGCTCAGCTTATTTTTTTCAGCTTCAAACCTCAACTTCAAACTCCAGGTTTATCTTATTCATGTGCTGTTGGCCACTCTACAGCATTAAACAGTGTTTGCATGAATGTGTGTGGGCAGGGGGTTGTTGATGAGGAAAGATGGAAGAAGAATAGAGTTAATGTTAGAAATATTCTTCTCAAAATATATGCATCTGTGTAGCGGCACAGCTGGACCGTGAAGAAACCTATTGAACTGGTTCTCTAATATTTATTAATTACTGTATACCCAGATTTTAAGAACAGAATTATTTTAAAAATCACAGCACAAATTGCTCTGGTTTAAGGTCAAATGCTGCTGGCTCACTCTGAACAAACTTTCTCCCAATAGAGGATAGACTTCCCGGTTACTACGGAACTTACGTATCTTCAACAATTATCACAAATTTTCTAAAACTTAAATGTTTTCAACTGTTATAAGGATTTTCTGCACTTTTATTTTTTGATACTTAAGTAGCATAATGAGATTGAAAATCAGAACTCAATATTTAATAAAAATTACCAGGCCAAAGAAAAACTAGAGGGTTTAAAGCTAAAAGAGTTTCTTAATTTTTAACATTACAGAACACTGTTGCCACAAATGAGCCACAGGTGGGGAAGACATTTTACTCATAAAAAACTGATCAAAGTTTGAAATAGATACCAACATCAATTTTCAGATTACCTTTAGTCACATTCTTTCATTCAAGATTCTACAACTGTCTTCTGTTCCAGGACAAAGTCTACCAACCCATCTACATAACATGTAGTACAGATTCTCTGCTTCTTTAAAACTACTTGTCAAACACCAGTTTCAATTAAAATTACCTTCCATATCATCTTTTCTCTCTTTTTCCTCACTCCTACTATTTAATAAATTAATGTCAATATTCAGAGAAACTGTACTCTATTCTACCAGGAGGAAACCCAACGTCTTTAATAAATCATGGTTTTTAGAAAGAGTTGAGATCCACTCATGCCAAAACTGTGGGTACAAATTCAACACCATTATTAGTTTCTAGGGACACTGTAATTCACAATGTTTTTTCCTATTAGTTTAAGTTTCTTTACATGGCAATGAATAGAATTTTGCATTTCCAATAGGAAATAAGACAATTACAGATACTAAGAAAACTTAGAACATACTAAAATAAAAAAAATATCCCTCACACTTTCTGAAATGAATATTATGTAAATTTCAAATAAGTATTACCAGGGGAATGAAGCAGGGAAAATAACATATCAGTAATTTACCCATGATAAACAAGGATCCTATCTTTGATAAAATGAAGAATTTTCTCAAAATATTCCAGGTACCGCATGTTAATGACCTGTCCCCTACAAAGAAGAGAAAAGTTTTTTTAAAGTCTTGTTTTTCAACCCAACATTCCAGGGCTAAGACACAAATATTACTCATTAATATTTGACATAATTTTATCCACAGATGCTTTTTAAATTAAAGGAATGAACTAGAGGTTTGTCTGAAGCCTATCCCCCATTTTGAATATAGATTCCATAGTGAACTTGCAAAAGCTCATGTATCATTAGTGTTGTTCTCTGATAAACTACATTTCATGCATATTTCCCCATTTTCAGTGTGCCCATGTCCAGTAAATCTTATCTAATTATCAATTTGTACAAGGATATAATCTCAGACAGTTATTTACACTCGTAGATATTGCAGAACTAGGAGAGAATTCTCAATCTGCACACTGATTTACTTTGAGAACCAACACTTTCTAGTTTACATATTTGCTGATATATATGCTGATCTGCTTTGACAGTCCACGTACATTTTTCTTTATTCACCTACATCTCGCTATATTGAGGTAACTTTGCTTTGACTCCTAACAGTTGCAAGTAGTAACTGTTAAAGAAAAACATCAAAAAGGTGTTGTTTTTTCCCTTGGACTACTAAGGAAAAAAATATACATTAAAAACTTGGTAGAAACTTGCTAGGATTATAACCACTCTGAGAGGAAAAATTACATACCATTATTGCATTTGTAGGAGTCCTTCTTCTTCTCCCAGTCTACAAAACAAGATTTTATAAAGCAAATGTTATCGCTCTCTAAGGAAGCAAAACCACTGTCAATCACAGGAAGGTGTGTACACCTAGCTTTTTTTCCACTCTAAATGATTTTTGGCAGCTTAAGTCCCTGTCTAATGTCTCACTCGACAGTCTCACACTTTAGTAGGCCTCAGAATAATGGCAGAATCAGTCTTTAAAAACTGAACAGAATTAGAACACATACGTATCTGCTAGGGAAAGCAGAAGGATGAAGACAAATCTATATACATAATTTGCCCTTGTTGTACGTCCCATCATTTTCCATCTGTATTAAAAAATATCTGTACAACAGGCAGAAGCGTGTCAGTATAATGAACTGGATTTTCCTTTAGTGGAATCTTGGAAAATACATCCAAACCAGACCCACCATTTTGTAAGGCCATCTAGAAGCAGCAGTACCAGGAAAAGACTTCTGGTGGGTGGTCAGAAGTGATTTGTGTTTATTCCCACTCTTTCTCCTTGTTTAATAAACACTACCACCAAGAATTCAAAAGTAGCAGTGTTCCAGAGAGTGTCTTCATTTTTTTTATAAGAATATTGAGTATATCATTAATGTTTAGCTGATCCCAAATCTTTGTGTTGCCTATGAAAATAACTTAAGCTTTCAAACCCATTTTCTTTACTTTAAATGAAACTTGGTAGCTTTGATCATTTAAGCCAGAAAGAAGGTAAGCCGAAGTTGCACTTGTCTATAGACCCATGAAGTAGTGACAGCTGATATACTTGCATCTTGAGAATGTTAAGATCTGGAAGCCTATCAAAAATTGTGAAGTGTAAGATGTTTCTTATACACTTTTAACAAAAGGTCCCCAAATTGTCTCAAAACAAACAAAAAAGTCTCTGTTTTCTGACACTCTCCAAACATTTTGCCACTCTGGAAAAGAATCTTTAATTCAGCAGTCACTGAATGCTAGTGCCTCCATGCCAAGACTCATTTGATCAGAATCACTGAACAATAACGGACTTTAAATGCAAAGAATTCTGAGTAAAGAAAAAGGTTATGTTAACAGATACCTAACTCAAATATTTTTGCACACAGAAATTACTGGTTTACAACATAGACCAAACAAAACCTAGAGACAGCTTGAGCTCAGCACGACTAGATCTGTTATGAATACTAAAAGAACACCCAACTGCTACTGTTACACTTTTTATTTGACTGAACAGCTTATATCTTTGTATATTTAATAACAATGAAGGCTGCCATTTGTCAGACTAAATAATCTATGGTTACACCTTTTTTGTTACACATGGTTTTCAGGTAGCCATGCTATAGAAAGAATTCAGCCTTAGTCATACAATTATGAGAATAACTTTCAAATCATAAGCCAAATATAAAGCAATGTATGTCTTCCTGAAAAACAGTCAAAAGACCATAAAGTGATCTCAATTATCAACAAAAAGGTGCTAGCTCTGTAGCCTATTAATATCTTCAAGCAGCAGCCATTTTACAGTTGAGTAATGCAAGAAGGAGATTATACAGACCTGTATAATCCATTAATAGTAAATTGTCATTTAGAAATCATAATGGACTAGAACATGCTTCAAAAGTAAAATAAAATAATTTTAAAAAGAAACCCATTACCACTTAATTTATTAATTTCTTTTATCCCTCACCTCCTGTGAAATCATCAGGAGGGAATCCAAAAGCAGAAACAAATCACTACAGAAAGCAGCTATTACTTGGGATGCAGAATGATCAAACAAGTATGGGTTTCCAGAATCAAAGAGGATGTAATCACCATCCAGTACTAAAGTATGATCAACTCCTAAGGCAGTGGTATTTAGGCTGTTTCAAATCTATTGTTCCTTCCAAAAAAGTAACAAATCAATAATTTTCAGAAAACTACTACTTAGCTATCTAAAAAGCACGACCAAAATGCTAAGATCCTCAAAAGTCAAGGCTGAGCCAAAACCAAAAGGTTAGAATTAGATTCATTGTGGGCCTGCCATTTTGAATGTTTCATGAAGCTTATTTCAGATTTCTGTGAAATCACCAAAACAGCTGGAACAGTAAATCATGAGTTTTTCTAACATTCTCTCATGAGAGGAAAACAAGTAAAGTACTTTGGCCAGTGAAAAACAGAGCTGCTGACACAGAGATCCTGTACAGGGACACGTTTCTCCAGATTAAATGCTCAATGTTATTTTCAGCATGGTAATCAAGTGTTGTTATATGAATGCCCTTCTGCCAGAACAGATCACCTAGGAATTAAGCTTTTACTCTCCCATTTAAAATAAAAACAGGAAGAAACGGATAAAGTATGGAACGCATCCCTATCTCAAAGTACAGATGGCTGTGGTTTCTGCTGCGTTGTACATGTGAGAAGAGAGAAATACAGCAACAGCAAAGACAGACAGAGCTTGGAACCCAAATGTAACGCTTGGCTTGAGGGAAGACAGAAGCCTGAGCCTAAGACTGTTCAAGAAGCAGCACATCCTGCAAGGCAACTACTGATCTGCACTGGAGTTTAACGCTACATTGTAACCACTCCCTAAAGTAAAGCAGAGGCTGCTACGGTCCATTCCATAGAGTGGAAGGAAGAGCATGGACAAATTCTCATTAGCCTCTGTATGTGAGCATTAGAATATCACTGTTTTTCTCTGCCTGGAATAGTTCTTGAGAAGGCTTTGCTTCCCTTATCCTCCTTTTTCCACACAGCTTCTCAAAAAAGAAAGAAATAGATATAAAAGCAGAATGACAGATCAAAGATTCAATACTTCCCGTGGCAGGGCGGAGGAAATAAGATGAAACCTGTCTACATATTTACTTACACAAACACACTCTGCTCCTGTGATTGACAGTGATGTTGCCACATTGAGTCTCACACTTCTACCACTTCATGGGAAGTAGCACTGTCATGACTAGAATACTGAGTCTTGCAGCATGGGAGAAGATGGAACGTACAACAGTGGTTGAATCTTTTAAATTTTACCTTTGTTTGAAAGTGCAACTGTTACCTTTCACATTACCTTATTTTGTCATTTTTGCTTTACTTTGGCCTGCTTTGAAAACAACTAAAACAACTATGTCTTTGCTCTCTATTGTAAATTGGTATTAAGGTTAATAGAACAGCATTGTTTCATTACTCTGCCACTATCTCTGAGAAGCAGCATTTGCAAAAACTACAACTGTGACGAACTTAATCTAATTTTCACATTTAAGGTAATTTGGGAATTAAAAACAGCACACAGTAAAAATTTGCATCTTCTGGATCCCAGTTAGATCTTGCTATAACTCAGTTGTACAATTGAAATTCAGGAAAAAGAGGAAATATCATAACACAAAATTCGAGGAGCACAAAACCCAAGTGTTCCATTAGAAAATATAAAATAAATATTAAAGCAAAACAATAAGTACATGCAATACTGTAATATGCTGTTTCACGAACAGATGGTAAGTTTTGGTACAATCCCTTAGTGTGTGGGGGAAGGCTGTTTGGTAAAACTCTCATACCTGATTAAGTTAATGTGATTATTGAAACCTCTGCTAAGGCTTCGGGCAGGCATTTGGTCCAACCAAAGCACAGGCTGGTCAGGGTCAGCTATCCTACAAAGACAAAGGACATTAATATTGGCACACATTTGACTCCATGTAATATTTTTAATTGAGCTTTGTTCACACACAGAATAATTTTAGGCAAAACCTAGAATTCAGAGATCACAAAAAATTTTTATTGAAATGCATGTATGATTTTCATAAGGAAAAAACCTAACTCACAAGCATTTTATGTTGCTGGAGTTTGAAACTTTTTGTTAGCCTAAGCTGCAATGTATCTATGGTCTTTCACAGCGTTGCCTCAACCAGAAAATGCTATTCCCAACTTTTTTCTTTCCCTCTTTTAAAAAAGAAGAAAAACGGATTATTTTCAGAAATGCACTCCTTGTACCTAAACCATCCTTCTCTTTTATCAGAACACTTTCTAGTTACAGAGTGGTAGCAAGTGTTCATTTTCTCGTCTGTGACTTCAGCCCTTTGGTTAACTGAAGCATGCATCATCATTACAACCAACATAAGGCTTGTTCTCTCTCTTCTTTTACCATTACCTTCGCCACTTCACAGCTATATCAAACATATCTCTCCACTGCATCAGTCTGGTTTTCCCATTCATACGAACTTTTGAGTTTGCCCAAGTCCGCTGCACAGCTTGCATTACTTCTAGGGTGGCCAATCCCATTGCTGGGGGTGAAGGAGAAGAGTGGAACAAACAACAACAGAAACAGAAAACCACTTAGAGCCAAATACTCATTTTTGTACAGATAGGAAAATTGAAGCAGGAAAGTGATGTATTTACAGGAAAAGAATTGCCAACATCAATAAAATCTGGGAGATCATGATTTCCAGTCCCCAATTAGGTCAAGAAACTGCTGACATAATGATTATTTTCATATTAAACTTTTGATCTGACTTGAAAGGAACAGAGTATAAAACTAATTTGCAGATAGCAAAGGTATAGTATTAAGTTATCACCACACTGATTTTTTTTTTCCCCCACTCAAATTTACAGAGCATTTTCAGTATACCTCTATGTATTCTTTTATTTGGAAGAAATCCTGGTGTCTCATACTGCATCATGGAACCCAGATGATCAGCTACACATACGAGTTCTTGCACGTCAGGCTTATAGCTTTCAAAATTCTGAAATAACACATCTCTAACAGAGGAGAAAAACATGCATCAGACATAACTTGGCAACAAAAGTCCTCGAAGTTGTAAAACACAGATTTGTTTGTCTGATAATCAATATTGTTTGTGTAAGAAATACTTAAAAACAGTATAAAGAACACTCATTCCTCCTCCCACCCCACTGAACATACACAGTACATGGCAGTTACAGTCAATACCTCAAATGAAGTCCTGGTCTTACTGAATTCAATGGCAGATCTTACTACTGTCACAACCAGTTTTTTACCTTCAGACTTGCTCATAGTAAGTGATACTAAATAAAGTTCACAGATTAATGTATGCTCCTTCAATGTTACGCTCACCCTGAGGAACTTTAACACTAAGTAAGAAAAGAATACGTATAGAAACCGGAAGCCTTATTCCGTAACTTCTCCTGTAATTCTGTAAAAGCTTCTTGTGCTAAAAAGGTAGATTCTATTCCATATACACAAAAGCCATAAATTTTTTAACTCAGCAATTTTTTACATAGATAAAGTGAACACATGAAAATATATCTAGAAACTAGTTTACAGCAGGAGAAAGGGCTATCTTTCCTTTAGCTACATATTTTTGAAGTCTACTCTAATAAATCCCCTGCTTTGTTGACTGAAATCACCCTCCTCCTAAAATACTGGTTATTTAAATTACTCTGGAGCATAATTTTTCCCAGTGAAACCCAGCTGCCATTAAAAATCTATTAAGTATCTAGCAAATTACACCTATAACAAAATAAAAATTTAACATACAACAAGAAACTTAGTAAGGGTGCTACATAACACTACACTGAGCATCTCAAACTTATCAACTCCTTAACATTAATTGCAAGGAAAAAACGAAATAGAATAGTTAATCAGTAAGGCCACAGAATATGAAACATTATGTGAATATTATTGATTATGTGAAGACAGAAGTGAAGAAAATCATCCTAAGTTTTATTCTTCCTCTTTATGAGCTAAACCAACTCCAATCCCTATGATTTTGAAAAGGATTTACACTCAGTGGAATTCCACTTTCATATAGTATTAAATATTTATGCTGTTATAATGCCTTGGAATAGCACTTTAAAAAGTCAAGCTGAAAATTACTTACTTTATATGTGGCTGTAACCCTGGCTGTTCTTCATAATTTTCTATTAGAAAAGGAAGATTTTTGGCCCAGTGGTCCTTGAAATTTCCAGGAAGATCTATATCAATATTATACTCTGTAAGAGGGGTATCCAAATGCGCGTGCAAGTACCTAGAATACTCTGGAGGAAAGAAATAAAATTAAATACTGTTCGCATAATCAGCCTACTTATGTAATTACATAAAAACATAAACCAGATTATATGTTTGTCAGTTATCCAACATGACTTTAATAAGTCATTACTTTTAGATAATTTAATTTTGCTATTAGCTGATTTCCAAGACAGAAATAAGTCTATTTCATCTAAGTATCACAACACTCTTTACCGTTATACAGAAATGTATATTTCGTTGTCCTAGTTTTTAACTGTATGAACAATTAAGAATCAGTGTACATTTTTTTTTAAACAGACATACTCAACAGTGCTCATGAGAATGTAGGATGGTTTCTTTAAAATGGTCATAACTGCAAGCATGCTTGCACTTTTAGGGCTCTTGAAGGATTTAAGAAAACTAAAAAAAACCAAAAAACAAAAAACAAAAAACAAAACAAACAATCCACAAAAAAACAACTCCAACTTACCTCGGAGGTATTTCACTTTCAGATATTCTGGGCTGGCCTTCTGACCCGGTAGTGGATCATTTAACATAACTTTAGTCTGAGCTTTTATGCCTTCATAAAACTGTCCCATTGCAACATGGCTGAGACCTTTCATGTACTGGCATACTTCATTGTATGGTTCTAGCTGTAGACATCTCTAGGGGATTAAAGGAACCAAGCACCCATAAATCAAGAGAGAGAATGAGTATCTTCAAATAAACTACCTGTTTGGTCAGAAGACCGCATGAAAAGATTTACTGACTATTAAAATCCACTTCCATCACAATTGTCTTTCAAATGATACTGAGCACTTAAATTGCTAGCAAATGTAAGGGAAAAAAAAATATTTTCAGCTTCATTAAAGGGAAAAAAGAAAAAAGGAACTGTCAGTGCAAATACGCTTTTGATGACTCTTTAATTGTTATGAAAATAGATCGTGTTTGCACTAATATCAGCACTACAGAAGTTTCAATGTTAGTTGAATGAAATTAGACAAAACATACTCCTGACAATATTAATAACAAGTAATTCTTGGCTAGTTCAACATACACATCGTGCCATTTCTTCAATCCATATCTTCACTAGTTCATGCATTAGTACACTTCATTATGTTAGTCAATTATTTACTGTGTTAAACACATAGCAAATTCATATTTATCATTCAAAAATTAATGCTCTGATTCTTCTAGCAATTACATGTCCTTAGAAGAGCATCCCCATCTTAAAAGTTGAAATATCTTTTCAATTACACCAGTATCTACAAATTGTGTTATAGAAGGTTAATACGTAATAATGCACATAAAGTTTTCTCCTTGGGATAAGCACACACTTGTTCACAAAGGGATGTAATCATTTCCACGTCTTATTTCATTCCTTGTTTTAAGGATATGGACATATGATTAACATATGCCTTTATTGTTCTGTCTACAAAATGAGGCCACTATTTAATACCAATGGGGAGAGGCAAGATTTTGTTTACCTATGGAAACATGCACATTTTTATAAGCTCAATGAATCGCAAAAAAAAGAAAATACCTCAGAAAAATTAGATAAATATTGGAACTTTGTATGCTTACTTTAAGCTTAAAATTACAAAGACGACCGCATTCCTTCTTCTATCAGGTATGAAAAAAACTTTAGGTTTCAACCCAAACTAAAATATTAGCAGGAACACAATTACCAGTTTAAAAAAAAACAGATAAAACATTTCAACCAGAGCTTTGTTCTAGAAATTTACAAAACAGTTAGAGAAAGTATCTTAGTTTTAGCAAAATTCCATTTTTAATTAAAAACTGTAAGGTTTTATACATCTTTTAAGACAGACTTCACAAAAAAAATTTTAGTTCAAATGCACGTACACATTCAGAATGAAAAACTTTGACATTTGTCCATTTTACTGCAATTGTTGAATACTAGTCCTTGTTAAAAGATTTTAATTTCTTATTTACTTAGGGCCTGCTTACCTTAAAATTCTTTAGTGCTTCATCTAAGCTACCATGATGATAAAGCATCATTCCTTTGAGCTGTAACGTCTGAACATGATTTTGATTTAGCAGTAAAGCCTTCCGGAAGCTCTCTGTAGCAGCATCGAAGTTGCCAAGTTCTCTAGGCGATTCCATAAAGTGGAAAGTGAAGAATATAGAAGGCAACAGTGACAATGAAACTACTTGTTAGAAGTTGTTTTAGCGTGTCCAAAGGGGATATCATTAAAGAGGAACACAGTACTAATGGAAAATTTCTTTAATAAAAGCAGTAATTCTGCACCTATTCTTCACTGGTAATAACAGAACAGCTGCACAGAGTTTTTCACTCCCAGAAATGTGTACTCTGAAATACAACCCCACAAGACCACAAATCTTCACAATCCTCGGTGGATAAAAACCATAAAAACCCATACCTATGGTATTTCTTTAGAAACTAAAAGAAACAAAACTTCCACAGAAAGCATTCTTGGAAAACATTATCTATGACAGGTCTTTCTAACTTCTAAATATAAACACATTTTAAAAAATATACTACCTACTTAACTGCTGAATAAGAAGAAAGCATATGGTGTTTGAAAGCTGAAACTAACTAAAAACGTATTGACTGCAATTACTCCATGTGCAGGACAGCTTTTAGTAAAAATAGCCACAGAGAAACTATCATAAAAAATATTAAAATAGAAATAGTACACAACTTAATTTTTATTCAGTTTTTTATCCAAGACACTGATTTTTTTAAGTTTAAGATAATGAAATTCTTTCCACATCAAATTATATTAGGTGAAATTAATCCAAAAAAGAGCAACGCTAGAAACGAACAGGATTTACTAGTTTTAAATACATTTGCCAAAAAGAATTTTTAGACAGAACAATGATTAACCACAGCTCTTCAGTTTCAAATAAATGCATGAACACTGAAGTCACTATATTTGAAACAGGAATTAATAGGTAAAATGCTATAACTCATGTTGTACAGAAGGACAAATCAGACTAAGAATTGTCTACTTCCACTATAAAAATAATTCTTTAAAAGGTATTTTTAAGCATTGTACCTGAAACTTACTTGATGCAGAAGAAAGAAAGCATGAACTTAAAATACAAGATTTTAGAAAGAAAGAAGAATTTGACAGCTGAAGTTAACAGTGCCCTGGAGAAATAAGATTATTATTTCTGCCTGTTTTAAGACCTGAGTGTTCATGGGAAAGTAATTCAGACATCACAGTTGGTCACTAGCTACAGTGTCCTCAGTTATTAAACAATATTCTATTCAGCTTCTGACCTTCTCTAAATGCTCAGCAGTTAGAAGAGTCAACAGTAATTGTGCTTTGTACATTAAGTTCTAAAAAAAGAAAAAAAAAAAAGGAAGAGGTAGATTTCTTTACATTCCTTTCCCTATTATTTCCTGAGGATCAGAGAACTTTTGGAGGATAGTGAGAAGGAATAAAAGCAACAAATTTAAGCTCATTAGGAATACTCTGGTTAAGTGACTTTTGCTTTGTAAAACAATAATGCAGTGCAAAATGAGACATTTTAAGGCTTGCTTTTTTCTCTCCTTCAAAATAAAACTTTTTCAGATTAAGGTTTCTTGGGCACAGAGTAGACAAACTGACCAACTAGAGAGGCAGTCCCACATCCAAACACAAAACAAAAAAGTTAAATCATTTACTGGAAATGCAAGAAGGCAACTGCCCATCTTCCAGGCCAAATTACTGACTATTATTTAACACCTTGAAAGTACTCACACACCACAGTAACTAGTGCCACAGAAAAACGCATGAGGAAATTACTGATTCTACATTGAGTTCAGAATTCAGATACTGTGATAAATAAGGCACAAGTCCACAAATAACAAAATAACAAAAAAAAATTTAAATGACACTGCCTTCAGTGAATATTGCACGTTCTGTATGCTGAAGGAAGCATAAAGCCTGAAGAAAAAGAGCACATGATCATGTAATGCTTGCATACCAACCTTACCCAACTTAACCCTTGCTACACAAAAGCCGTTTCTGTTGCAGCATCTATGCTGTAGATCAGTGCTTTCCAAAAATAAAAATGTAAAACAGGAAATAAAAAGCTGACAAGACACAGCAAGTTGGGAAAAGAACTACAATGGGCAGAGATACTCAGTTGCTATGTTATGTTCTTGTCTTGTTATGTACAAGCTGTATGTACTTTTCTCCTTAGTAATTATCTGCAGACCACCTTTAAAGTAATATATTTTATTCAACTATAAATTATTTTATCCTTAACGTAAATTTTAAAAAGTGACTAGTTACCTTACTAAATAGAGATTGCTTTTTTTTTTTAAATTATTTGATTAATAGGTAAGAAACTACATGTCTGTAGTAAAAATACCCTAAACAGGAAATTAGCTAAATTCTCAGAACTGTAAGTCTCTTTGTGAGAGATTAATTTAAATAGAATCTAGTAGTTCTATGAAATGATATGCACTATGCAATGATTTTTTCATAAATTTAAGTAGCACAATAATCTCATATGGCAACTAACGAGCATATTAATCAACAGTTCATATTAAACATTTCCATCATTTAAAAATCATTTAGCATAACTAAAACACATCCTACTGAAAACCGCCATTTACCCAACCTTTGAGTCTGGGAGACTCAAAGAGCTATGGGAGACGGAATTAAAAATACAAAGCAAACCTAGAAATTATTTATATTGAACATATCGTGACATAGCCATACTAGCTGTAGAAGCTACCAAATACACATATGATTCTGCACAGTTTTGTAACAAACGTGTAAAGCTTTAGGAGTGCATTTTAAAGAACACAATCAGATAGAAAACTGACTTTAAAACTATTTCTGAATGCAATTACCTGTAGGCTTGTCCCAGACTTTTATATGCATCTATGAAGTCTGCTTTCTGCTTCAGAGCTTCTTTGAATGATTCAATGGCTTCCTACAGAAAGACACCAACGGAAAAATTTGTCACTTACTGCACTCATTTAATTTTGGCATCCTCAGTAGTTACTAGCCATGGATTTACAGTTATTGTCAAAACCTTTGGAAGGAACAAACAAGGCATGAATTTATTACAAAATCTCTAGAGTAATAATCATCATATAACAAATAAAGTATTGCAACATTCTTTACGGTAATGACAGATATAGCTGGAATTCCTTTGTCTAATATGCTGTGGGAATGAGTGATTCTTTTAGCATTTTAATAGAATTCAGAGATTAAATCCCTTCAGAGTTTGTTTTCAAAGCTCAGTCTGGTCCCTAAGGCAAAGCAGTCTCTCCTTACAGTCTTCTTTCTTCATTCATAACATGCTTCTTAATTTTTACAGTCCAAAAGACTCCTTCAAATCTGCACTCTGCCTTTCATTGTTTCATTGCATTCATGTTAGTTGCACAGTTAGCAAACATCTCTTGAGGGATTACAGAGTAAGTGATCATTTTCACACAACAGCATGTACTGCTGCTGTGAGGAGTACAAGATAATAAAAACAAAATACCTAAAAATAATGATATGCATACCTTCAAACTAATCTTCCTCTTCAAAGCATTTGATCAAGAACTCAGGTTTTTTAAACTGGACTGGCTATATAAATGGGCAAATGCAGTACTGAGACTTAGAATTAAGGATGGAATAATCAACTACTTTATATTATGAAGGAATGCCTGAAAAGTATCTTGAAGTCTATAGTGCAAGAAATTAAATGCTGTAAGGAAAGAATCATTAGTATCTTCAGTCAATTTAGAGATTCTTACTCAGAAAAACTATCAAATATATTCTGAGCACTACAACATGCACAAAAATATCTATTGAGCAAAATATGAAATAATCACCTACCATTACTGATAGGTTCATGTCCTCTAGATAAGTTTTAAATCCAAGATGATTATTCCCAAAAGCAATGATCCAAAAGCAACAATCTCTTCTCACTCAAAAATGAACACTCTGCCACCCTCACCCCAAATTCAGTTTTCAGCAAGCCTAGTAAAACCTAACAGATGACAAGTATAGCCTTCCTTTAAGAGGCAGTCTGAACCTGACTGGAAGCTAAGGTATACCTGGGGATGAAAAGCCACTCAGTCACAATCTCTCAGAACTTGAATATTAGAGAGGGAAGACACTTCTTTTGAGAAAAGAAACTGGGGGGAAAGAGGTGGTGGTGCAGAAATGTGTTGATCTGCATATCAGAAAGAAAACATTGCTTCTATTTTGCAAATTGAGACGTTATTTATCCTTGTCAGTTATATTTCCCCTATCACTTTCTGGGCTCTCTGCTGCCTGCACCAAAAATCAGAAATTCAATCAGACTATTATTTGCAAGTAACTCATTTGACTGCAATAAGATACAGTAAATTCAATGACAGCCTGAAGTTCTTACAGCATACACAGAGTGTGGAAAAAAATACCAGCTTGGGTACTAAGAAAATGGAGAAGTAGTCTGTTTGCTAAAAAAAAAAAAGAAGGAAAAAAGAAAAAAAAAAAAAAGATCAGGGATTGCCTATGAAAGATACCAGGCTGAAACTCAGGAGTCCTGGGTTGTCTCCAAGTTCTGTCAGGATTTCTTCATACAACCCTTAAGGAATCCCTACCTGTTATCAGAGGTTAAAGAAAAAAAACTTCCACTCTGTTGGAATTTATGAAATACACAGTTGCATCCTCACTTTTCAAACTGAGGATTTCAGACCACTTGTCTAATTATTCTCCCCTCAGAAAAACTGCAGCAGTATCTCCAAACACTTTACAAGCAAGAAACAGGTGCAGTATTACTACACCTAAAACATAGAGAAGTTTTGACTCAGAAAATGGTGAAACATTAAAAGAATCATAGAATCATAGAATCAT